GAGTGTACGCTGCTGTGTCCCAGTGTTCGTTTAGGCCATACCAACGATTTTGGCGGGCTGGCATACATAAATGGTGCGTCACCGTGCCGGTGCCTCTTCATACGCTCATTTGCACGCATGGATTGCGCATCACCGGGGTGAAAGTTCCCGGGATGCTCGCTTGTGATTCTAATTCGGCCCCAGCTGTACGCTTTCTCCATGGGACGGCCATAGGTGGAAAGTACTCGAACACACACACTGCTCGCCTCACCCGTCTTTACCGTTGCCGCCTACTCGAAAAAGCCAACGATTGATGAAAAAAGCGAAGAGAGACTGAGCGTGATCGCATGGAAAGACGGGGCAGCCAGCAGTTGTGTTGTGCGTCGCAGTCTCTCAGGCCAGGTGTTCCTGTTTGCTCTCGATGCCCGTACGCCGTCCGTCTGCTGTGGTTTGCGTGTACACCCGTTTGCTCGTTACCATGTAGGTTGGTTAATTCGTTACATCTATCATTACTCCTTCTAAAAACTCTTGTGTTTTCTAACATGCGTGTTTGTGTTTATTAACACGCGTTGTATGACGATCAGGTCGAGTGATGATGTCGTACCATGTAGGTTAACTCGTTACATCTATCATTACTCCGTCTGAAGATTCCGTGTTTTTTGACACGCGTTGTACGATAAACAGGCGGAATTGATGAAGTTGTACAATTGTACCAGGTAGGTTAAGCTGTCACCTGCTGCGCTGCACGTATTTTCACTTACCGATCTTTAGACTTGATATTTTTGCACGTTTGTCAGTTGCGTCTTGTAGCAACATGTTACCGTTATTTTTTTACCTTCCACGCGATACGTCTGAATGTTGTCACCACACAGTTCTCGCTCCCGTGTCGTAATGGGCGGGGGCAACAACATTTCAGTAGAGCTGTGGTTTCGCGTACGTAGATTAGCGAGGTGCAGGTTGGACAGACGTTCGGCGGGAGCGTTGGAAGCAGCGAATCCGTCGGAAAGTGGCGTGCCCCCGACGTGCATTCTTGGACACGTCACGATCCCAATCCTGTTCCAAGACGACTCTCAATACGATTCGTCACGGCCAGAGTAGTATCGGATCTCCCGTACGGTAATATCATCGGAGCTGAATATCTTCGACGCAACAAGAGCACGCTTAATTTTGGAGAAGGCAAAGGCTTTCATTTCAACCCACGCCTGACGCGCCCTTCGTAAAGGTTTCTGTCGAGGCCGGTAGACCACCCTGCCCAACCGTCACCGCTCTCAGTCGCACACGACCGCCTTGCTCTCTTGACATGCGACCCGCAACGCGACACTAACCTGTCCGACATTGCCCCGCTGCCCGAGCTGCCCAGTTATCGTGACGTCGCATGAGAGAATGACAGCACTCTGGAATGGGACCTGGTGCTAGGCTCGTGGATGTCATCAGGGTTCACTATCGCGATGCAGACTGTAGCAGTAGGTCCTCGGCCACAGGACAGGCAGTTGGTGATGGTGTTGCCCGCGGAACGGTTCGATCTAGAGAAGGGAGCCACAGTTGGGATTACACGTGCAGCGATGTGGTGGACGTCGGGAAGACCGGTGTACTGCAAGTTGGTAGTAAACCGTGATGCTCAGGTTGTCGAAGTCACTAACGGTACTAATTGCGCCAGGTTGATCGCCCTCAATATCCGCGACCGTGGCCGTTTCGACTCTTTGTTCGACGATACCCCGGCCACTGTTGACCTTCCACTCCCTGCCCCGGTTGTTGTGCCCACCCGTGACACGAGCGACGAGACCTCCGCGGCCTCGAGGTTCTGGCCACGTTCGTTGAGGAAGGCCTATTCCCGATCGACCCCAAGAGAGTGGCAGGATGCGGTGGCAGTGAGTTGGAGCTTCCTTTGATCGACGAGTTTTGTACACCTCACGCAGCCAAACAACGCCGATTGTCACCCGAGGAGAGACGCATGATTAGGGCTGAGATTCAACAGTTGCTGGATCGTGGTATCATTCGGCCTTCCATGTCACCCTGGGCAGCTCAATGCTTGTGTGTAAAGCAGAAAGGCCGAACTATGCGACTGTGTATTGACTGGAGGGTGTTGAACAAGCTCCTGGTATCCGATAGTGGCGGGCTAGGTGATATGCAAACCATATTCGATGGACTGAAAGGCAAGCGGTACTTCACTCAGATCGATCTAACGTCAGGCTTTCATCAAATTGAAATCGCCGCAAAGAATCGCTATAAAACAGCCTTCCGCGACGCAGACGGCATGTTGTACGAGTTTACACGTGCGGGATTCGGGCTAATAGTTCTACCTTCCGCGTTCACGTATCGAGTGAAGTCTGCTTTAGGAATTATCGATGGCGTGTTCAGCTGGTTGGACGACATACTCGTCGCAAAACGAAACGTGGGAAGAACACCTTGCCGAATTGGTGCTCGTCCTAACACGCCTTCGTGCTGCTGGACTGTCCGTTCACTTTCCGAAATGCCTTTTCGGGGCTTCGTCCCAAGAGTTTCTCGGAATGATAATTGAAGCTACCGGCATGCACCCAGCCCCGTCGAAACTCGAAGCGATTGCCAACATACCCCGGCCACGAACGGTCGAAGGCCTGCGCACGTTTCTAGGCTTGACGGCATATCTCCGACAATTTGTCCCTCAATACAGTTTAGTTTCGGCTCCCTTGACCGGCATCCTCCGCAATAAGGACTTTGCGTCTAAGCGCGCACGTAAGCTCCCCATTCAGTGGGAGGAAGCGGAGGAGCACGCCTTCCACCAACTACGACAGTGCCTGGCTTCCCCTACCGTGTTAGCTTTTCCTGATCCTAATGCACCTTTTGAGCTGCATTCAGACGCTAGCTCAGTGGGCGCAGGTGCTACCCTGCTGCAGACCATCGGCGGTACACCCAGGATCATCGCTTTCGCTAGCCACAAGTTCTCTCCCACCGATGCTCGACGAGGACCCACGGAACGGGAGTGCATGGGAGTATTGTGGGGCGTTGATCATTTCAAGCCGTACCTAGCTGGTAGACAGTTCAGAGTCGTGACGGATTGCTCTGCACTCACGTGGTTGTTTCGTAGTAAAGAACTCTGTCCCAAGTTGCATAGGGGGGCTCTTCGCCTCATGGAGTACGATATAGTATTTGCATGGAGGGAAGGAGTACATCACGTGTTGCCAGATGCTCTGTCCCGTCTCCCCGTGGCCAGTAGCCCCTCCGTAGATATAGACGACTCTTTTCCTGACGATTTCACGTCCCCGGATTCCGCTACTTTTGTTGGCCCGCAAGGCCCTGTGCTTGATGGTGTGCGTCTCGCGGACCTCACGACCGAGAACGAATCCGAGCCCGTAAATACCGATAGTGAGATTGATCCCGCGGTCATAACACCACATTGGCTGACTTCCCGTTTGCTGCCTGTGCCTCGCACGATGAACTTGTGCCACCACGTCGCTCAGGCAGACGACGCACGCCCTTCAGTATGCCTACAACCCCTCAACGACCCTCAGCTGCCTACCGTGGCACAGGTGTTATCAACTAGGCTACAACGCGAGTTCGCACCTGAGCCCATCGAGCTACCCCCAGCTCATCCACCGGAACCGTCCACCGCCTTGTAAAGAAGTAGGTGACCATAGATGCAAGGGTTGGTCCCGGGACTGTCGTGTGCAAGGATGAGGAAGATTTCGTAGAAGATGTGTTGATCTACGCCTCCTGACGCTTCTTGCTGATGGGCCGGAGGGAGCTGAAAGAAGCTGTGCGGAAGATCTACACAGACGGACGCAAGGTGCCCTGGGACCCAGGCAAGGGCCCGGGGGACAGCTGGCTGGAGGGATTCATGGCGAGGCACCCGTGGTTGTCGGAGCGAGCCACCCACATCTACGAAGCAAACCGGATCAACGAAGACGACGAGCCTCGCCCTGAAGCCTTCTAGGAGACACGGGAGTCGTACCTCGCGGAGATCAAGCTCACGCCGGACCGCATCATCAACACGGACGAGACAAGTGAGTTAGGGTAAGGGCTGAGGTGTCCGCAGCAACCCTAAACGACATCTCACCGCTGCGTACTGCATCGACAGCCTTCTGGTCCCGCTCTGAGTCTACTCTCGCCCGTCCCATGCTTAGCAGCAAGACCCCAGCAAGGGAAAAGATGGCCCACATCAGGGGTGTGGGTGGAAGCTGTGCTGTAGCTCGGCAGTGCTTGACCCGATCGGCGCGCTGAAGAGCTCAAACGAGAGCCAACGGAAAGCTAAAAATTAAAATAAAAACAAGGGTCCCCGCGAATTGTGCGCGAAGATACGTCCGTTTAAAAAAAGTGTTCCTCAATGGGGGGGTGTTCCTTTATTCCCGGGTTTATTCTAATGGTGAATGTACTCCTAAAGGAACTCGAGTACTTTGGTAGACGCGTGCAGTTTTCTTCTGTTACTGCTGTTTCTGTTTTCGATCCGAAGGATAGTTTAGCCTCCCCCGTGCTGCCCCCTCACGGGGTCCAAGTTCATGGCAGATACAAGTGTTTTGTGTTTTCAACCGCACTGAGACTGACGTCTTTTGATTGGTCAGCCGGTTAGCGCGGTCGATGCTAATAAAAAGATCACACACAAACACACGCCGAGCTTACAGGGCGGCGTCGCGCCGATCGAAGCAGGAAGAAGGCGACACAGAGACGCCCCGCCCAACCAACTAGATAGACCCGACCCAACGAAACCACGGCGACGGAACGAACGGGCTGTGGCAGACGATGGCGCGATTGACCTCAAATCAACCCTTCCCTCCCGTCAACAGTGAGAAGAAAATCACGAACTAATATACAACACAATGTATATATGTATATTTTTTTGCGTCCAAAACAGATTAGCAATTGTTGTTGTTCATGTTGTTGTTGTCTTCACATTAAAAACCGTTCCGATCTCTCTCTATCCAGTACCTTCGTATGTCCATACTGGTACAACACTCGACGCGGTCGATCTCCGTGGTCGCACGCTAACTTACCCTAAAAAGGTACACTCAAATAAAATGGCCCCGAGGGGTCCGCAAGTCAATAGAAATCAACGACAGATATTCTGGAGTCCTCCAATCCCTCTGCGCGCTATGCGAGGCAACAACTGAGACTAGGAGTCACCATCACGGGCCGGAGAGAATGAGGTACACCCCCTTGGTTCAATCTTGGTACTTCACAGCGCAAGCAGAAACAAAGCCATCTGGCACAAAAAAAGAGAGAAAAAGAGAACAAGAGAAAAAGAGAAGAAAATAAAAGGAAACATCAAGGAAAGAGAAAATGAAATAGAAAGAGCGAGGACAAAAAGGGACCAGGCCGAAATAACAAGAAATATGAGACAGAAAAAGGCACACGGTGGAGAGACCACAAACCACAAGCAAACACGCAAACATGGCCACCAACGAGCGATGCATTGTAATGGTACGTCATCACTAGTGGGGGGTTGGTGCAATGGTGCAGCGTTGGGGGGGGGGAAT